CTTCTTCTGTCGCCAACACCCCCCCTCAAGCTGGAGCATGGGAGTTCAACATGCCCAGCTTGGACATCAAAATATTGAACAAAGCAACAAAGCTTGAGGAAGCCGCTGCCATCGTTGTCCGAGTGTCATCTAGACACTTCAGTTTTTTTCTTCAACGGAGACGCCAAGCTTTTCGAATCCGCCGAATAATCCGTCGAGTAAAGGAACGTCATTCTTTTCGAACCTTCACCGTATTCGAACAAACAGGGGGAACGCCATTCTTTTCGAACACCCTGAACGCCGACTTTTTTTCCCTGCTAAGGAAAGAGTTGTCTGTCTCTGTAGAACAACCCTTGTCGGACAACTTCTTCAAGATTGATGGTTGGGCGGGATTCCTCGACAGCAATGTTCTTCGTTGAAGGAATTCATGATATTCTTTAGTGAGGGAGAACAGTCAAAGAAAATCAAAAATTACAACATCCCACCGGTAGGCATTGAATTGTGTATGCCCACCGGCAGGGGAATAAGCGTGTTTGAGGTCTCAAGAATTCAGAACTTGCTCCGATACCATGTAGAATTTGATAAGAGGGAAAAAATATTCTGTATATTGAATTGTTCTGCTAAGTACAAGGAGTTTCTCCTTTATTTATAGAAGAGGATAAAGACCAAAACACAAAAGGAATTCTATTCCTACAAGGAAACAAATCACTAAATATGAACAAGGAAACAAATCAAGAGCAATCCCACTTAGAATGGGATTTGCTCTCCTTCTTGCCGTGTGGTCCAAGGAGCACCGCCCAACAATATTTCACCATCTTTTTATATTCGTCTCGATAAAAAAATTATTTTATTTTACTAGATTTACTTAAAACACAATTGAATAAATTAAGAATTTAATTTATGCATTAACAAATTTAAAAAAAAGGAAGTGTTGCATTTATTTTGTACAAAGTGAAGTGCGCGTGTGTATATATAGTAGCTATATATACTTATTCATTTGTATATGGGAAAAGAACTAAACACGGAGTTAAACATGGAGAAAATATCAAGTAAGAGCTCCATATTTTTTATTTCCAAATAGGAGTGCAATGCCTAAAATGCTATTATATAGTACCAAAAAATACTGTGAGATGACATTATATAGTGTCATAATGTCAGAATGTCAACTCTTATTTTGAAGATAAAAATATAGAACTCATATTTTGAGAATAAATGCTATGTTTTACTCTATTTGGAACAATTTCTTTTTAAATATACAAACATGTCTTTATATGTAATTTAATCTCGAAACGGTTATTTACAAACAACTAAATTTACAAAATATTTTTTAACTATTAGCAAACACGTTGAATCAGCGAGTCGAAACTACAAAGTTTATTAATCATTCAAACGAATTGACACAAATAATGAATGGAAGAACTATCTAATTAGGGCCAAAATTAAACAATCTTCATGTCAAGGTACCAAATTAACCAATATATGAAGCTTGAAGGTGTGATTAAGAAATGTCTTTTATGTTCTGACACTGCATGTGCCAAAATAAGACTTCTAATATTTTTATACCAAAATAAGATTTACAATGCATAAGAGTATGAATATATAATGTCCAAAAATACTACTCAACTTTGATATGATTAGATTACTTAAAACATAATCTTGAAATATCTTAAATGTGATACTCCTTCCGTCCCACACGGATGCCATTGTTACTATTGTAATCTTTTGATAACTTTTATTTGTTTGTATGTTTTTATTGATCATTTGATAAAATAAAATGCTCTTGTCGTTTTTTGTTTTGTAGAACTTTTGATGTACTTTTGAATAGGTGTAGGTTATTATTTTTATTTCTATACCAATCTTTAAATAAAATAGTTTTAAAAGCAATGAAATTTTATTTACATGTAATATGGAGTGTGATACACTTGACAAAAAATGACCCGACCTGTTTTTGACCCGAAACCCGACCTGAAAACACTGGGTTTTGAACAAAGGTTTTGATGACCGAACCCAAAGTTGACCGAACCCGAAATGACCCGCTAAAAATGGGTCAAACCCGACCGAACCCGAACCCGATCTGACCGACCCGTTAAAATAAGAATTTTTCAAAATCATACACTTTACTACTCGTTTTTAGTATATAAATTTATATTTTCAAACAAATTTTAAATGATATTGCATAATTATCTTACTTTTTTCCAAAACTTAAGCATTTTTTAAATTTCTTATATTGATTTATACATCTAAAAATTACTTCAGAGTTTAAAATAAAATAATTTTATAGATTTAATACATTTTTTATGATATTTTAAATTTATTTAATAGAAAATGTAAGTGTTAATGTGAATTTAAAAATTTAAAAAACCAAAGTCATAACCCATTGGGTCGACCCGAACCCGACGACACTGGGTCATGAATATACAGTTCTCAACCGAACCCGAATTGACCCGAACCTGAAATAACCCGAACTTGAAGTGACCAAACCCGAACTGACCGACCGATTTGCCAGCTCTAGACTGTGACATCCATTTAGGAACGGAGGTAGTAATATTTATTTATGTAAATATATACCGTAACTATCAATCATCAAAGTGATCCGTTGTCGATAATCTAATTTGGGACCAGGGTGCGAGTAATTAACACTACTTTAATAGAGCAATAAATTTTATACATATATAGAGATGTAATTTTTTTTAAAAAAAACATCCTTATTACTAAGGTTACAAAATGAATATTTTTTATATATCTTGATTCATGGCAAACAAGTGGATATTACTTTTTTTATTGGATATTCACAATTCACTCCTACCCTTTTTCATTAAAATCAGCCGTCCGATTGGTCCAAGGAGTACACATGGCAGCCCAACAGATGGGCCAACGTGACTAAAATCTGAAAGCATTCTTGTGAATGGCAGCCCAACAGATGGACCACTCTCTAAGCTCATTAAACATAAACCAACTGGGTAATTAGTATTCTCTAATTCCCATTATTTTCATAATCTCTTATTTGAATTATCCAAAAAAAAAATTATTCTTTTTAAGGAAAGGAAAATGTGGTCCATATCAGTTCTCTTTTTATTTACACAAATCATAACCATACAATTGTAATTTTATTAAAATAATTATTTCAATCACAAATAAAAAGATAATTGGGAGACGAAGAGAGTATTAGTTTTTGAACTTAATTTTGGTTTCTTTTTAAAGGAAATTTTGGTAATTTAAGTGGTTTAGAGTGGCAATATCAAAATCCTTGGATTTATTGACAATGCAAGGAGATAGTCTACAGCTCAACTTACCATACCACTTTCAAAGAAAGAGGCAAATTTTGTGAAATAAGCTTTAAAATTAAATTTTAACACCATTCGGAAGAGTCCAATTGAACTTCAAAATCAGGCAAGGAGAGAATGTGAGGAAAAAATAAGGAATTTTTTTAATGGAAAGTAAAATACAGAGGGGAAAAAAATCAATTTCATACACTTGTTCCATATTAATTCATAAATATTCATCATACAAGCTAAAAAGTGCATTTTAGGTTTGATGGTTTGGTTTATATATATACTAAACCTGGAAAACCAAACATACAAAAACCATTTTCCGTGTTCCAAAAAGGGTCTAAATCAATGCATGAAAAACTGGCAGTGAACAAATGTGAAGACACAACGGTGATCGATAAAACTTATGTAAATATGCAATGCCTTCTAAATTCTAATGGAAGAAATGTACTCTATATGCACACCCAATTCGATACCAAAGACGTCAAATTTCTCTCTGACACACAACGTTGTCAGTGAAATCTTCCTTTGGTGGCAAACTTGGGTGCACCCAAAAAAGACACAACAAATGTCACTCCAACTCCCACCCCACCTTTCACCACAACCTTCTCAGACACATCCACAAACATTGAACAATAACAAGTGTCTATGGCTGCTGTGAGAAGGGCCAACATCCACAAACATTTCAAACCATAACAGATGCCTATGGATGTTTGTGAAAAGGTGGGTGAAAACTGGAATGAGAAGTGGGATGCAGCAAACATGGTCCTGTGAAGTTTTAACAGAACTACTATGAGTTGATAATTTCGTACCTGACCTCTGTAGATTGGAATGAATGGCACGGTTGATTATATATCCGAACCAGCCTAAGTTGAAAAAGGCTTGGTTTGGTTGGGTGTAATAATATCATACAACAATAACAAATCCATTTCCGTAAGTGAAAGAAATCCTGAAACGATGACAAGAGCACCACACAACCAATAACCCAATGAAAAACAGAACTAAGCCTTCAGGCTTCACCTATGCTTCTGTTTTAACTCATGTAACGGTGCTTAGGAATAAGAGTGATGCTTGTCAGGACAACTCAAAAAGCAAGTGAAGTTCCATATATGGGCCAATTAAGGAACTATATATGTACAAACAAAGTAGACATTAGTTGTAGCAAAATCTTGTGTTTTCCAAGTGTCACTATGTAATGACAGTCCTAGATAACATAGTTTTCAGATTTGTTTCAAAATACAGAGTATATAAAACCAGCTCTTTAGTACACATGGTATAAAAAGATTCTAGATGAAACACAAAATCTCAATTCGTGATGAAATATGATTTCCCAATAAAATTGATATTACGTGAATGGAGAAGCACACAAAAACCAGCTTCCAAATCAAACAGAGTATTTTAAATGCACAACATCAAATAACTCACCTCATCACCATCCTACAATATACTTTTGCACATATGGTGAAGGCGGATACTGAAGTTTTCATAGCCAATTTTCCTTCTTACAAAGGTTGCGACATGAAGAGCTCTGCTGCCACTATGCTTTTCTTCATGGACTTATAGCGTTAACTAACGAATTGAAACTATCCTTGATGCAAACTACATAAATTATTTGGTTTTAAGGGGCTTATTATGATGTTTGTGACGATGATGATGACTACGATAGTTTCACAACTAATTGATTTAGATAAACAAGGATACCATAAAGTAAAAAACTAAATGCTCCAAGGTCACATAACAAAACCATTCGAGAGTGATATCCAGAAGACAACACACACATGGATGATCATGTTAGAGGAGAATCAATATCTAGATGAGCATGGAAATTCAATCAAAGTTTCAGAAACCACTGCAATTGACATAATTGCTTAGTATTAGAGAGAAATAGACCCCAAAAATGTCTTATCTAAACAAGCATAGCTGTGATGACCATAGCAAATATAGCAAATACGGAGTAGAACGGATATAAAAATACGATTTGAATTTAAACATGAAGAAGATGATACAATACCAAAAGTAGTCATATATGCCATTAACATGCAATTATAGGTCATCAAACATAAGATATAAATGTCGTCAACATCCACCATACACTTACAAAGTACAGACTCGCTCTCAAACCACCTCCTTGGTGGGCAGAGCAGGCTTCTGCAAGTCATAATCAACAACCTTTGCGGGAATCGCCACGTATCCTGCCTTCTTCTGGGCAGCAATATCGTCATCGTCAAACTCATCATCGGAATCCTCGAAATCAAAACCCTGGGGCCAGAAGAGGGACCAGATCAGGTACATGGTAGCAGCAGTCAGCGCTCCGCACCCCAAGCCGAATAGCAAAGCACCGACGACGCTCATGATGTCCTTGGTCCGGTCACGAATCGAGCTACTCACGGAGGAATACAACTCGATCGGATTCATGGATGCCGATGAAGACAACCGTTGGGGCACATCTTCAGGCACGGTTTCCTCGACCTGTTCCTCAACGCCGCTGAACGGGTCACGGAAGACGGAAGCAGGCCTGGCGGGCAGAAATTTCCAGTCATCGTAAGGGATACGGGCGGAGGTGAAGAAGAAGGTGAGCGATTTAGGGTTTTCGGGGCGGAAATTAGGGTAGAGGTTAGAGGTTTGGGAGACGGAGGAGGTGACCGGGTACAACGAGGTGGAGGAGAAGAAGAAGAGCGTCTTGCAAGGGCGGGCGGCGGCGGAGACGGCAAGGAGACCGAAAGCTACGGCAAGGAACCAGATCGGGGATGAGGTCGCCATTGAAGAGGACGAGAGAGAGAGAGAATGTCAAAGGGAAACAGTGTATCGGTGGAGAGAATTCGGGGAGGCGTAAACAAGTTTTGTGCTACGATTAATCTATAATCATGTGTGGGGCCCAGGTCGAGTTCGCAAAGATGGTGATCCTCCTACACGTAACCCGCACAACCAAAAGACCCAGTACCTCCGTCCCACTCTCTTTGTCCATTTTTTACTTTTGGAACTGTTCATCTAAGTACTTTGACTCATCAAATTTTCTCAATGTGTAAGCCTAAATATAGTCATGTGTGATCTTGTTTGATTTGTCTTAACATATAGATTATTAATATATAATTTCTATAATTTTTACTATACAAATTACAAGATAAAATGGATTAAAGAAGTGCATTGGATGGTGTGCCAAAAGGTAAGTGGACAAATAGAGTGGGACTGAGGGAGTATTTTGCATAGGTTTATGTTACATTTCTTTTTTAAAAGGCTGAAGCATTTCACTTTGGGTGAACAAGTACCAAATTAGTCTTGAAATTTATCGAGTCGAAAAATATTGAATCAATAAAATACTGAAAAGGAATCGTACCATACCTAACCAAATGATCGATCCGGTATTTGGGATCGATATGGGGTAACCTCTCATGACAAAAATCTCGAGCCGAACATATATACAAATATATATGTTATAACAATATTTTTATATTTCTTCATTAAAAATAAATTTATTTTGAAAAATTGTTTCAAGTGTAGATGAATTGCAAATAATTTTTTAATTATATAATCATTTATTTAAATTTTAATTTTTTGTATATGATTTTATATATATATATATATATATAAAATCATTTATTTGAATTTTAATTTTTTGTAGATAAATATAAAAAAATTAACAAAAAATTAATCTTGGGCCCTAGGTTCATAAAAATTACTCCTCCTCTGTCTCCCAAACCTCTAACCTCTTGGTACCACTGTGATGATGCATAATCCAAGAGCATAATCAAGGTTGGATGCCATCTGAACAAGGATAATGTCTTTGTATTTGAGAAAATGTTTTCCACATATGATGCTCGGATATCTAGGCTCTTATCAGGGTTTAGGTTTATCATTGCATTTGAGTGGTGCTTTCTGAAGACGCCCTTTGGATGAGAGTTGTTGTGTGCAGTGGAAAGGGATGGAAATGACATTGTATTTCTAGTTGCTTTAGCAATAGTGCCCACAGAAAATAATTTAAATTTGAACTAGTTTTTACATGACTTACATATTGTAATTGGTGACCCCTTTGACAAGGGAATATGCTACATTAGTGATAAACAAAAAGGTTTGCTAGAGGTATTTCAGATTGAGTATCCAAAGTAGCACTGCAAATTCTATCTTAAGGCATATGCATGAAAATTACAAAAAGAAATAAACAAGTCTTGAGTTCTAGCTGTGCATTGATGAACATCAAACTGCATTTGAGTAGTTGTCTCGAGTTCCTACTGAGCATTGGTCCAGATGTATGATTCCTACTCATGTTAAGTGTGATGTACTCATAAATATCATAAAATGAATCTTGTAATAATTACCTGTTGCAGTGCAATGCCAGTTGGTCTAGAAGAGTTCCAAGTGATGAAGGATGATGTCACTCATGTTTAGTATAAAAGAGTACACTTGTAGGAAGAATCAACTCACTGGTGTCACATGTTTACATTGCCACATATAATTAAGAGGCATATTGGATTGTTATTCACCTAATTTTAGGTTCGCATAACTATGTCAAGAATCTGTATGCACTGTTGCTACCTTGTGTTGTTAAAAGAAAGATTGGAAGAAAAAATAGATGAAAGTATACAAGAAAAGGATGTGAGAAGGTCAACAAAGAAAGTATTGATTGTTAGATGTGAAAATTATGGTAAGTAAGACCATAACAAGTGGACTTCTATGAAGGAACCAAACACACAATATTTTGCTAGGCCAAAAAAAGGGACAGACCAAGTAACAAGAATGATAAAGAAACTGAAGCACAAAATCAAAGAACTACATGTGAGAACATATTCACTAATGGCACCATGCCCTCACAAGTGAAATAATTTCATTCATTGATGATGTCTTTAATGATATTTTTTTATGAAGTCTTTACTGCATTTTTAAAATCAGGCTAATTGTATTTATTATATATGAAGTTATAGCGAGCTTCAAGAGGTCTACTAGTGCAGAGAAGTTTATCTCTAAACCATATAGGCAGAGCTGATGGTACTGTTGAATCTTGGTTGATTACTGAATTGCATTATGTAAAAACATCTTCTATTTACTTTTTTTACATTTTGAAATTTGGTGTTGATGTTCGTATTGTGATAGTATTGTTTGAATTGTCAAGCTCTATGAAATTTTTTGGGTGCTTAATTCTTCCGCCATGAAATTTTTTGAGTTGATCTGATATATCATATATAAATGGTGTGTGAATAATGTTTCCACCGTGATTTCTTAATTTACTTTTGCTATGATTTCTTTCTAAGTAATTTCATCTTACATAATGGGTTTAATACTGCTGCCATGAGTATTCTCCACAAGATAGGGAATTTTTCTCCCTCTATATTATGTAAATTGTTATAAAAAAAGGTTCCATCCGCATTCTAGCCCTTGAACACCAAACAAGAGCCACTTCCCCATTAGAGGGGTGCATGTGCACCCTTTGCAAACCAGAAGTATATTACTCCCTTCGTTCAACAATTTTGTGAACTGTTTGTTTGTGATTCTAGTATTACTCTGTTAAATTTTATTTATTTGTTAGTCTATTTTTGTGTCCTATTTGATAAAATAATATAGTTATGTCATGTCTAGTTCTGTAGATCTTGTCATGTGGTTTTTAAATTCCTTTTGAAACTACGAGGGCGTGTTGGAGCTCTTTTTCCAAACCAGAGGCGGTGGTGCATTTCAACCTTATTTTAGCATCAATTTTATACTCTTTATGTCCCTTAAACTCCTTTCTTTTTCTTTTTTTCTTGTCCCACTAACTTCTTCCCTTATTTATTAAAAAATCACTTATACCCTTTACTTTTTCATACCTTACCTATCAAATCATACTTTTTTTACTAATAATCTATCAATCACATCAAGGATATTTTTAGAAAGTCAACACTAAAATATTCCTCACTTAGTGTCCCAAAAAGTCAATAAGGAAACGATTTTAAGGGACGGATGAGTAAAAAATAACTTAGGAGTATACAAAGAAATATTTACACTAAATAACACTAAAACTTAAGTCATTTCTCTAAATTGCACTTAAATTGTTTTATTCCCTAAATAGGATTTAGGGCTTGTTCTTTAGAGCTTGAACTCTTAACTTCTAGTTTCTTCCAGTTTTTTCCAGTTTCTTCCAGTTCCTTCCAGTTTCTTCCAGTTCTTCCAGTTTCTTCCGGTTTCTTCCAGTTCCTTCCAGTTCTTCCAGTTTCTTCCAACTTTTTTCATTTTCTTCAAATTCTTTCTACTCCTCAACCAATTACTCTAAAAATGATATATTTCAAAGTTGTTGTTGTTGTTGTTATTATTATTATTATTACAACTGTTATATACATAACTGTAGTTTATAAATTATTTTTTTCATCTCACTATTTTTACGATTCACACTTATTATTTTTTTCTTCAACTTTTTAATATGAATAAGACATTTTTTGTATATTACTCTACATACATGATAAAATAGGAAAACATCAATATGTTAAATTATACTAAAAAATTATGGATAAAATAGTTACATTGAATTTTTTATTAATATAACTTTTATAAGACATCTCAGTTTTCCCTTTATTACTTAAAAATTGCTCATTTTTCTAATTTTTATTAAAAAAATTATAAGTCAAAAGAGCTTAGAGAAAAAGACTAAAATATTAGTAAAACACAAAAAATGTAAACAAAAAAGTTATATGTCCTAATTCCAAAAATAGGAATTCAATGAAAATAAAATGTCAATCATGAAAGTAACAATAGGTTTGATTATGTGACATGTATGATATTTAAAACAAAATGTTTTAATGCATAAATTATAATTACAAATACATTAACGTGATGAGGATGATGATGATGATTATGATGATGATTATGATGATGATGATGATGACGACGACGACAACGACGATGATGATGATGATGATAATAATAATAATAATAATAATAATAATAATAATAATAATAATTTATAACAACAAGAATTTAAAATAAATATTTTTAAAGTTTTTTTAGGTTTTCCATTTTTCCCAGTTTTTCCAGTTCCTTCCAGTTTCTTCCAGTTCCTTCCAATTTTTTCCAATTTCTTCCAACATCCAGTTCTTTTTTTATAGTCCTAAAGAACATGACCTTAATAATGTACACAATGTCCAGTGATAACAAATATTTACTTGAATAATGACTAATATATAATGACTAAAAGTGCTACATTGAGAAAAAAATACATATAGTGCTATTTAAGGAAAGTCATTATGTTTTAGTGCTATTTACTTAAATTCCTCGTATACAAAAGTCATTATGTTTTGTACATGAATAGAGATTATGTGTCGCTTACCTTCGAGATAATGTTGGTGTGCATGTTGAACTACATACTCTCAAATATGGAGTATTAACTGTATCAGTTTCAATGTAGAACTTAAATTTTTTATTCTTTAAATATTACTGAATAATGTCTTGTAATGTTGGGCGGTGCTCCTTGGACCACACGGCAAGAAGGAGAGCAAATCCCATTCTAAGTGGGATTGCTCTTGATTTGTTTCCTTGTTCATATTTAGTGATTTGTTTCCTTGTAGGAATAGAATTCCTTTTGTGTTTTGGTCTTTATTTTATCCTCTCCTATAAATAAAGGAGAAACTCCTTATACTTAGCAGAACAATTCAATATACAGAATATTTTCCCTCTTATTATTTTCTTCATGGTATCAGAGCAAGATTCCTAGGGAAAAACCCTAATCTAGACATACGACGGTCCATCACCGTCCTCCGCCGGTTCAAGCCTGTCTTCCGCCGGATCACCGACATCGACCGCCGGACTATCCTCCTCGACCGTCGACATGGCAGAAGTAGAAGAAAATCTCGTCGGCAAGCTTTTCGA